GCGTGCGGGATCATCCAAAGAGTCAAACCAAAGTGTCCGGATTTTTTTTTGGGGGGGGGTGTTCCTCCAAGTGTGAGCAGCTTGCCTAGAACCACCTAGAGAGTTCATAAGAAAGGGAAGACTTCCTATGAGGAGCTTCACGGGCGCAGTAGTTTAAACCGCAGTCTTGGAATCAAAACTCTGCCCATAACCTGGGTTCAATCCCAGATAGCCCTCTTGAGGCTCACTCCGACTTCCATTCTTCCAAGGTCATTAAATTAAGCTTGTGGGGGGGTGCAGCAATCCATAGCCTACATAATTAAACTGCAAACTGCCCCAGAAAGTGCTTTAAGCGATATTCTACTCTCTCTCTCTCCCCCACACTTTTATAGATGAATGGGAGGCCAATCTTGAGCACTGGCATTTAAAAGCATCAGCTGTGGGTTGGACTAGATGACCCACAGGGACCCTTTACAGGTCTAGGGGTTTTAAGATGCCCCTGAACAATGGGGAAGGAGCCAAGCTCCCTTTCTGACCCTTGACCCTGAAAACGGAGCGCCGATTCATCTCGGTGGTGAATGATCGAGGATCCACCCTCCTGTTGTTGCGTATCATGTTGTTTTGTGCTGCCGTGCGGAGGCGACCTGTTCTTTGGAGGCCCAACTCTTTGACTCAGCTGTGCAGCCGGCCAGGAGATTAATCCAAAGCACATGTGCCCCCTCCCCTTCTCAAACAAGCTGAAATGTCAATACCATTATAGGGGCTTTGAAGCCTCTTGACCACATAGGGACCCACACGGCTGTCGAGATGCCTTTCTCTTTCTCAATGGGTTGGAAGACGGATCTGGCTCCAGGTACAAAGACAGAAAGGCTTTACACCACCATCTTGGGAAGTTAAAGGATGAGACCATTCATGGAGGAATGTGGAAAGGTCCTTTGGAAAATAATAATAATAATAATAACACCTTCCTTGGATGCACCATAGTGTTTGGGAAGTGATTTGTTTTCTCTGACTTATGAAATGCAAAAAAGTAACCTTGTGTTGCTTATTACTGCAAAACAAAACAAAACAAAACTTAGGATGGATCAAAGAAGAGCAATAAACTTGAAAAATCCCTTAAAATGCTTTTTAAAGCTAACTTTAGAAAGTAAGTGGAACATGAGGGTGGGAGATTTTTTAAAAAGCAGGACCGTGCCCATTCTTGGCTCCAGGCCTGCTCATTCACAACTTGGGACTTCCAAAAAGATTACATAACTGAGCATGTTTTCTCTTTTACAGGTTTTTTTTAAAAAAAAACTTGGGGGCTTTATTTTATTAGTTGCTATTACTATTGTTTCTTCTTATCCTTTTTTTTTCTTTGTGTGTATGTGGGGGGGGAGAGAAAGAGTTTGCCTGTTAACCGTTTTTCCATTTTTTTCTGTTGTTTTTATGAAGAAAGCATAAGGAAGAAAAAATTCTCAAACATTCGCTGCATTGTCTTGGTGTGTTTCAGACACATTTGAACTCAGAGGTGCTTGTTCATGTTTGTTGAATTTGCATCCTGCCCCATTATTTGCAATGTACTCTTCAGGGTGGTTTAGAGCAATGTTAGGAAAAACACATATACAACTGAAGGGCAAACACATAAAAGATTAAAATGCTAAGCGAATAACACAAGTGGCACAACCGACATATTTTCCATAACACAGCAAGACGAGAGGCGTTAAGTTGACATCCACATTTCTCATTGTTCTGTGTCACCAAATAACTTAAAGGTATCCCTGTTCTTGCGTCTGTATTGCTTCCATGACCATGTAGCCTTTTCCTGATTTTTCCTGAGATGCTCAAGGGATGGCTTTGCCCACTCCCATCCCCTTCTGAATTTCCATGGCTCAGCAAGAATCTGAACCCAGATCTCCTGAGTCCTAGTTTAACACTCTGTCCACAACACCACATAGCGGTCGCCTACATACATACATAACACATACACACACAACCTTAGATGTAGGTGTGTGCATAGAGTCTTGTAACACAGAGAGAAGAGAGAGAGATTTAGAAATATCAGCATTTCCAGAAGGAGATTCGTCTACCAAGGATGTTGGCAAGTCTTTGCTACCAAGTCCCAAGTCCCGAGTCCCGAGTCCCAAGTCCCAAGTCCCTCTTAGAAACAAGCTTTTCTTCTGAGTCACAAGTGGAGTCAGAGACATGGGGGGGGGGAGTATCCCAAGTCAAATCACCAGTGTGACTTAAGTCCAACTCAATGGCGAATTCCGTGACTTGAGGCCCCATCACTGCTATCTACTGAATCACTGGAAAAAAGGGGTTCAGAGACCGTTGGTAATGGCGCTGCTAAATAAATCTTGTGAATCAATCAATCAATCGATCAATCGATCAATTTGGTAATGGTGCTGCTAAAAAAATCTTGTGAATCAATCAATCAATCAATCAATTACAGACCCGTGTTTCATGCCCATAGATTTCCCTTGTGCCTTCCCAGTGCACACCCTTGAGAGGAACTGCCTACTTCTCTCTTTTCTATTCCAAAGGATTAAATAAAGTTCTAATTACATCATAGATAAATGTGAATTGGGGGGGGGGACACAGAAGGTCTGGGAAGGGGTGGCGAAAATGTAGTTTATGAGTTCATCAACTTTATTTCCTCCGTGGATTGCAGAGGGCAGCGTTTTCCCTCTCCACAGCCGGGCCCGGAGCCCGCGCGGCGCTCAAGGTAAGGAGAGCTGAGAGCTGGCTGGTGGCTTTGATCAGAGGCGCCTGCGAAACGTTCAGGAGAGAAGCCATCACCTCCGGCCTCCGAAAGACCAGCTCGAACGGGACGCCCATCTCTGTTCCAAGTTTCCGACCCCCGCAGCTTACAGTTCTTTCCGCGTGGTTAATTAAAACCCCGTCACTAAATCAAACCGGCGCAAGGGGCACAGAAAGGGAGCCCGAGCATTTACCTCATTAGGCAACCCTTGCCAAGGACGCGTGTAGGCGCATCTCCAGAGGGGCTGCCTCCTTGCCAAAAGCTACCTATTAAAATTCGAACTATAGCAGAGGATGGCTTCTTGGCAACTGGGCTTGATTTACAGCGAGGCGTGGCAAGAGTGATTTTACAATGGCCCACAAACGTCCACAAAATACCCATTCCGAAACAGTAGACGGGGTCACACAGAAGGGCCTGTGAGCTATTCAAGGTTGGTTTCTAAAACAAACAAGACCTTACTACGCCTTAGTGGCGTAGCTGTTTCCCTAGAAAAGCTGTGTTAACAGGCAGTGTTGGGCTTCCCTACCCAAACAAGAATGGATGAATCTGAATATTGAGAGAGAGAGAGAGAGAGAGATGTTAGCCTTCCTTCTCGCCAAACCAAGCAAGATCTAACAACCGAATCAATTATATAGAGAGACGATGCTGTTGTCTTCAAAGGCCCGCGAAAAGCATGCACCTTGTTTTTAAAGCTGTCTTGCACCACCAGTTTCAGGGAAACAAGGTGCACGCACACACTCTTCTTACTTCAACTTTCTTTCAAAAGGATATTTGGGGGTGTTTGCTATCACTTTAGCCGCAAACTTCAACAGTGGGGAAGCGAGTTATGTCCCTTCAAGACAGAAATGAATCACAGAGATGGGATATAAATAAAAATAAGGACTATATGTTCTAAATTTGCAGCCCTGACTGCCTGTCCTTCTTCCTACCTCTCCTCCTCTTTCTCTTTTCTAATTTTCCTCCATTTTCTAATTTTGCTAATTTTCTATTGGTCAACAACGTATTTTCCTTTACAAACATCATTTTTCCAGCCTTCTTGCTTCCTTCCTTCCATTTATATACCTGACCAATGGCCACTCTTCACATCAAAGCGTATCATGCCTACCTCCATGTGGATTTGTCCATTCATCCTTCTGTACCTCTTATCTATTCATCTATTTATTTATTTTTAATTTCCACAATTTCTTATGGTTCAAGAATCCTGGCAATTTCTCTCACAGGCACCAGTTTTCTAAATATAGCAAATCTTCCCTCTCTCTCTCTCTCTTTCTTTCTTTCTCTGTATGTTTTGTTTCTGTAATTTATGAGCACACATTTCTACCTGTTCGGTCTTGCCAGGGCTGAAACAGAAGCCAAAGGGTTGACATGAGTCAGAGACTTAAAGAACACAGCCTCTAACTTAGCATGCCTCAACAGTGGGAGGTTGCTGATTGATGGTCCAAGACTCCCTTTCATGCATACCTGGCATAACCAGGTACAAAACAGTTTCTCTGGGTCTGGCTCTCTTTCTCTCTCTCTCTCTCTCACACACACACACACACACACGGACATCACCTTTTTTTGCCGACTCTTGGCTTTTGAGGGAGCCCCTTCCAGCCTCTCAGTGCCCTTGGAATATGTTAGATTACAAGCTCCATCGTACCAACAAGCATGCTAGATGATGGTAGTGGTCATTGGGTGTATCTGGAAGACACCAGGTGGAAGAACAGGTGGGGTGTAGACTGTTGGCCAACGTTCTGGTGAAGGTCTCAGGTTGAGAAGTCTTCCTGTGTTGCAACACAAGAAACCACCCCATTCTGCTTCATATAAACAAGACTTTCTAGGTGAAAGGCGGCTTCTTTGCATTCTCTCGGAGAGGTCAACACTTTTATTGTTTTTCAAAGAAATTTTCTTTGAAGGTTATCAGGTTTCTTAATGCCCGTGTGTTCCCAGGCGTTAAGAGAGGTTGGGCTTTCCCTAGTGCTAACAAGAGTCCTTAAATTCTTTCCTCTGTTTGCATTTCTCTTCATTTGGATGGATGGCGATGGGGAGAGGCTTTAAAACCTTGAATTGTGAACCTGGGTGAAATCTTTTTAACATTTCGAGAGAAGGGAGGTTCTTTTGCACA